ATGCGAAGGGTATTTTTTCATATTCTGGTACTGTTCATAACGTTGCCAAATTGTCTCTTCAATGTCATCCGCAGTCAGACGACGAAGTGTGACTTTTGTTTCCTCATGAATATCTAAAAAGAGTCTATGCACAGGAATCTAAATTTAAATGAATCGATACATACTATGCGCGTGTCGTAATCGTTCTTCCAACAAAGCTTTATTTGATAAAGAGAATCGTTTCATTGAAAGTGGATCTAAAAGATCAAGTTTAGTTTTACATTCGTGTGATCATCACTCTTTACCATTCGATTTCGAGAGATCATTCGCATAGTGATTTTGTCCATTGATTCCCTACGATAACCAGACTCATGGCTTATCGCCTTCTGAAAATCATCGTCGATACTTACTGATGAATAGTTATAATTGTTACTTGAATGAACAAAAAATTCTTTCTTTTTTACAATTGATTTAACGTCCTTTTCTTTTCTATCGTCATCATTATCAACGATGCCATCTATCTGACCAACCATAAACATTCGATGTTCTTTCGAGTTGATTCGTAACTTAATTTTATCGAGTAGATATTCATAATCCATTGATTTCGGTGACCCATCTTCGAAATAATAAGGTATTGAACCGTCTAGAAACATCGATGATGATCTCTGTTCATCATCATGCAACTCATCTACAGTTTTCATCGCAGGTGACCTATCCAGTGGCGTCGATACTAAGAATGTTTTCCAAAACGTTAAATCTTTAGAATTTCAAACTTAAACTTACAAGTCTGGAGGTCAGCTGTGATTTGCATACAGCGTGCCACATCATTGTAGCGCTTTTGTAAACGATAAACTAATAATTTTTCGGGACCTCTCTCATCAAGACATGATAATAGTGCATCAAATTGATCGAGTGTTGAGTAATATCGTACATCTTCTCCAGTTTCATCTTCTCTATAACAAGAACATCCTCTCAATTCTATTGCCTTGTTCGAAAAGTACTTACACAAATAAACGACGACAAACAAACCAATATCTTCGCTGTTCACGATCGTGTCCGATGCATCGATGACGCAGATAGAATGGTCGATTTTCTCGTGGCGGAATACAATTTGTCACGCCATCTACTTGATTTTGTTCGCATACTGGACAGAACCACTCAACCGTCGGTACACATGTCAAGGGTGGATTTAAACAACCGAGATGATAAGTAGCCTCACAACGATCACAACAAAGTAAATCGCCTCGCCTGGAATCGAAAGCAAACGTTTGCGATGCATGAGCAGAAAGATCTCTCTCACATACTTTTGGCACTGTCGACAATTATCATCGTGTTGTTTCGGTTTTGTGTCATCGAATTCTCTTCGTATGGTCTTGGTAGTTAATGCCACATTACACAAAGCTAAAAGCACATCAATTTTATCTTCAATACTTGTGTTAAATGGGTATTCTTTAATAACAGTTGCGAACATTTTCAACTGCGGATGCGATGTTATATATAATTGTAAAATATACGGCCAGGTAATATAGTCCATAGTGACAAATGAAAGATCAATGATACCCTTGATATCTGTTTCGGACGCGTAGGTGATGCCGTCATCGTCATCCTGTTTGATTAGTAAACGAAGTAAACATATGTGAATTTGCGAGAAAAGAACATTATTGAGATCAATTGATTGAAGCATAGATGTACAGAAATGTTCGAATAAAAATGGTGAAAGACGTAAGATAGGCGAGAAATGACGTAGGAATTCATAGATTGTTGCTAAATATAGTGCTTGTTGAGGTGCGACTGGCAGATCATTGGAACTAGCTGGTAAATCGAAGATTTCATCATCCATGTCTTCTTCATTGTCATAATAGTCAATCGAGGAACTGCGTTGATCTTCGTCGACATCATTTTCATTCGGATTATTTGTCCAAGATGATGATGGAAGTGAATCCTCATCATAATGTTGAACAATAGGATGAGCTCGACGTTTCGACGTGTAACAAATTTCATTTTCGTCTTCAAAATCAGATTCAATTGAACGTCGCATAGTTTCTTGTTCTGAATTGAAAGAAAAAGAAAGACAGGAGTACAACCATGTATTGTATACGATGCTACCATATTGATTCCATTGTTAAACCTTTATGTGAGACCTCTATTGAGAGATGAACATGGAGGAAAAATCGGTCAAAATGATTTTTCTGAAATGAGAAAAATAGGCAATAGTGGAAAATTCATTTTCGACTTTTGAAAATTGGCGACATCTATTTGCGCAGAAATCTCGTGCATATGCTCTCTCAGTGACTTTACTTTAATTCGGAAGAAATTCCAACAATTTTTCACATAATTTTATGACAGACGACAAACTCTAGGTCCATAGTAAAGTATGGACAATTCAGACTTTTTAGGTACTTTGTGAGGAAAAGAAGCGCTAGCTGAATTTCAAGTTGATTCGATTTACGTTGGGGAGCCTACTTTTGCTTCAGATTATCATTTGTACTACTACGCAATCATGACGACTGAAAATAAAACTGACGAATACATTAAACTTCGCGTAGTTGGACAAGACAATAGTATATACTCTACAGATGTATTTTTCTCAACCATGCGACTGAATCTTGTATTGCAGGTGAAGTTCATTTCAAAGTCAAAATGACGACCGGTATGGGTAAACTGAAAAAGTCGTATGCTGAAAGACAAGGTAAGCAATCCAGTTTGCATTGCTCATGCGTTACGGACCTTTTTGTTTAGGCGTCGGTGTAGCAACGTTAAGGTAAATAGAGCTGAAACTCAATGAATTGTTATTAATCTTCATTTACACAACAGATTTCTTTTCGATGGTAAACGTATCAATGATGACGAAACGCCTAAACAACTCGAAATGGAAGACAATGACACTATCGAAGTTTATCAAGAACAAGTAAGCGATTAACTAGGAATGCATGCTCATGGATCTGATGTATTTAGGTCGGAGGATGTTCTTGAAGCAATTCGAAAGACTCTTAAAAGTACGCATGTACATAACAATCATGTTTTTCTTGTAATTAATCATAAATAAAGCATAGCATGAACTTTCTGACATTGAAAAGAATACTTTGAAAGCGGGCGAAGATGGGTGATGAACTTAAGGAATGTTCAACTATGAAATCAGTTGTTGATGGAACAACTGATCCATTATTAAAAGACATTACTTTCCCGTGTCAGGTTCTATGTTAACTACGTAATGCCATCCATCAGGTGGAAATTCATTCCATGCACTAGACTAGATTTAGTAGATACAGCAGTGCTATACAACGGATCTATATTGAAACTCGTCCTTTACTCGGTGGTCTACAAGCACATGTTTGTATTGTGTATCTCAATAGGAAAATCTTACTTCTTCAATGATACTCTCTTTATCACTGCACGTCGCCGATCCAACTTATTAATTGCTTGAAAAACTAAATCGAATCTGTCACGGCCAAGAACGTATGTATTACACAATTCAAATTAGAATACTGTAACGACAAACTGGTTGAGTAGCTGACCGCTTCTCACGGTATCGATGTTTATTGACTACTCTACATGACCAGAATGTGTCTCTTTCACAATAAGACACGCGCTTATATAGAGAAGAGGAAAGAGAGATATGACCCGGAGATAGTATGATATAGAGGTGAGAGAATAAAGAACAGAAAGAGATGAACGATATCATTATCGTTACAAACGTTAAATTCTAACCAGTCAGTTTTCACTGATTGATTTGCACCAGTTGACGTTTTTCAGTAAAAAAACACATGACCGTAAAAAGTTTCACGATATAGTTTGCTGAGAGCTTCATGCAGCATCTCTCAGTGTGTTCGTTTCATTCTTCCCAAGTCTTATTCAATGATGGATAAAAGAAATAAGAAAAAATGATCATTTGTCAACCTGAAAAACCAGTCACATGATCTTTTATTTGTTTTTGAAGCCACAAAATATAAAATTGAGCTACGGTTTACCGCAGGGGTGACGTTAACTTGAACACTTAAAGATAAGCTAAATTGCCACTCCTAAAATATATATATTTGTTTTTTTGTGTTGAAGGGTGAGTTAGAACACTCAGCAACTTTTACATAAATAGAATGCCAAATTCTTCACCGAGGTGCTCTAACAATTTGTTATGAATTCATTTTGATGAATTAATTACCCCATGGCATTTTAATAATTAAGAAAACGTGGAAAGCTTTCGAAAACAAGGCGTTTAGTTTATTGGAAAAGCTAAACCGTTTTTCGATATGCCCAAACAGATGGCTTTAAAGACAACTATCAAATCTACAAGAACGCTGTAATATCTTACTTTAAAACACCCGTAGTTCTGTTAACAGATAACTGCCGATTAGTTTCTTACAATACAATAACCATGACATACATATGCGAGCATTTACAACGAAGAGAAAAAATAGTACCCGATTTATTATTTGACTGTGGAGGATAGTACTTTTATGTAATGCGTGGCATATGGTACATCGTTCCATAGGATTTTACTCTGTGATTTCCGCAATAAATTATGAAACGAATGGAACTACATTGTTCTAGTTCCTCAGTATCGGTTTTCTTTTGCTGAAATATATATTGCTCATATAATTTGCCTGAAAATCTATTTTATTGCTTGATCAATGCGCATTCATATTCTCTCTTACTAGAATTATTTTCTACGAATTGACTCCACCGATAACAACAAGTAACGCTCGTCGTTAGACTCGCTTAGCTCTTTGTCGTAGAAATATTGATTTCAGATGTCATAGTATTAATGCATTATTGTGTATATGAACAACAGCTACGTTACTTCAGAGTTTGCTTATGAAGATCAATAATTAACTATTAGACCACCAGAGATTGGCGAGAATATTTAATTTACCATCAATTTTTTAAAATAAATTGTATTTAATGTTTTTTCTCAGTTTTCGTAGCATTATTTCAGTATCCGTTTATATTGGCGCATACAGGTGCCTTCAACTTCACCATCACGCTTTGATCCTCCTTCAATTTCACCACGTCGCGCTGATCCTTCTTCAACCCAGGTCGATCATTCCGGCGACTGGATCCGTTGAAATCTGAGTCGGTTCCGGTACAGCTCTTCTCGATTCCGGCCGGAATTGCACAGGAAATATCCGATCAGTTATTAGCAGGCGCAAAATCTGTTGTATGTTTTGTTCGATGTCGTTTTGTGAACCTTCGTTGATGGAAGTTTGAGATGGTGATGGCAAGGGTGGCTGTTGTTCAGCGATCACATCGTCCAACACCTATAACAAAGAAATATCGACATACATATATGTGTACTGTTTGATACGTGGATAAAATTCAAGAAATTGTTCGAATCGAAAATGTCAAAGCCTTGATGCTTTCGTCCTGTATCTAGTGCTCTAAATCTTTTTTTTGCGCATTGAAATAATGATTGACTGATTACTTATTGTCTCTAAGAAAAAGTCGATATCGAGGACACCATCTACTGTATATGCTTCTTCACCCACACCCATCCGTAAAACTTGGAATTTTGCAGTAGTGGCGTCACTCAGGGGAAGCCAGGTTAGGCAGAATGTGTCCGTTAGATTTTTGAATTCTCATATCAAGATTATCTGTTACTGTCCTGTGTGATGCCGGACTATATCGATTTAAAACAGCACCTCAGTATGTAAAGACGTCTACGAAATGTACTCTACTAGGTAAATCCTCATTTCACCACTAAACTAATTTACGAAATGAAGTTTATATCGAAAAATAGAAAGCACATCACTAACCAACATCAATTGATACTGAGTACATTTAAGAAACCACATGAAATGATATTTTAACCTTTGTCGACGTCTGGATCACCTATGCTATTGATCTTTTCAACGACTCGTGCGTTTGAGTAGGCGAGCTTGACTTTACGATCGATACCTTCTTAGTTGCTGATCCTTTTCTTGAAAAGCACAAAAAGAGTCGAATTCCATTGAACTAAAGCTATACGTTATTGTACATCTTTTCCTTATAGAACGATTAAACGAATAGGATTTTTCTGTCTCTATCTTTATCTGAAGTACTTTCTAGCACTGAATGATTATTTTCTGCTGTCAGTGGCAATCAATTGCGTGTTGCAAATGATGTTTTCGTAGGAAATCACGAATGATGAGACTGCAACTAAACACATCAATCATTATTGCCAGAAAAATCTAATGCATAATCGATTCAAGTCAATTAAATATTGAAATTCAAAATACGATGTGAAGAAATACATACCGAATTCCAGAATCAGTATGAGCCTGAAGAAAATAAAAAGAAATAAAGAATATGATCTCGGCAATTGATACTCTTTATATCTCGGAAAAATACTAACTTTATTCTATGAAATCGATATTAGACTGTAATGTATCGACACTTCTTTCTGTGCAACTGAAATCATTCATGATTGTATAATTTTCGGATAGTAGGCGTCATTGTAGACGATTTCTACAAAATATATCTATAGCAGGCGTCGATAATCGATCAATATTATCTGATCTCAACACGATCAATTCGACAAAAGGTGCGCTCCATTGTTAAACTACTGATTGTTACTCAACAGACTTCCTAGACGAATAACAGAAATTTCACCCGTCACTATACTTGTTGCCATTTGTTTGCTTTCTTTGCTCTCAAATGAATGGTTTATACCGTCGAAAAAAGGATCGATGTACGTGTTTTATTCGCTTCATCTGATATGCTGCCGGAAAATACAGACTATTAGAGAAAGTGACGATGAATTCAGAAAATCCATTCAGATTTAATAAACTATAACATATACTTTTTTCAGAGAACTAGCAGAAGAAGACTTGTGAATTGAGTCCGAAATTGTCTTTAAATACAATATAGTCTCTATGAGTTAAAGAAATTTGGAAGGTATCCTTTTTTTGAAGAACTGTAGGCGCATCTTGATTTCTTGCATTCTGTGAGTTAGTTTTGTCGTCCATATATCTTCGCAGAAAAGAGGAAAAAGTCAAATACATGTATAAAGAAAAATATAAGCGGGCAATGAATAAGTGATGAAAGGAACGAAAGAAAGAAAAATGTATATGTGTATGCCAAAAATAACAACACTAAGAAAGGAAAAAAAGCCGAGTTTTCGCCGGGATTGACAAAAGTGCTGACAGATTGGTCCGTTATGCACAAATATGAGTTCTACAAGTAGAATAAATGATCATATAATTTGCTATCTATTGAAAGAGAATGAATGATATCCAAGAAAGACAAAGAATGATGCAATCGTAATAATCAATGAATATTGACATCGATATGTTGATGAACTTTGAAGATTCGCAGAAGATCGAGGGATATAATGTTGATTAAGAAAATTCAAATCTCGTGTTGCTTCATTTGTTGAGCGACCACAGGCAGATACTTTCAAACTATCATCTGTTCCTTTTGTCCAGACTTGCCAGTTTTGTCCTGCGCTAATAGGCACACCACAAGCTGCTGATTCATATGGCGTCGACACAATAACACGGCCGTTCGGTGGTACTGAACCTTTGAATACTCTGTCCACTTCAAATGTTATTTGATAATCATCCTTGGTCGATCCGGGTTTTGTTCGAACAGCTTTACCAGTAAAGACGACTGTTGCATCAGCAAAACTTTTTTCCAATGTAATATCACTGGCACAACTACAGCTATTGATTAATTCAACGCAACCAGAAGAGAACAGAATAATGAAGAAAACCGTATATCTCAGAGTCATGTTTTCGATAAAGAAGAGTCTCGTGTGCTATTCTCGCTCTATTTATCTTCTAGAATCATTGAGAGAACGAGAGAGAAAAATATTCTGACGATGTTTTTAGCAACTTCTTGTATCCCTTGTGAGTGGTAGTAATCAATCGCTTTCTTTGATATGTATTCTACAGAGGTCTTCATGAATACATAGCGATAATATAAACAAGATAAGTTACTTGTTTTTTTTCTTTTTCTTTCTACATCGAGATGGAACCTATCAGTATATGGATGACAATGGAAGTTTCTCGAACGAACTATAATGCTCAACTATTTACTTTTATTATTTGCCTTTTAAGATTAAATAAATTAGTAAATAAGTCTAGATACCGATCATAAAAGTATTTATTATTGTGCAGAAATGCCAGTATTATTTTCTCTTCCTTCCTATTCAGTGGTACAAAGAACTGTAAATACTATCGATTCCACGTATACGAGTATGGCTAATAGAATTGTTCGAGCCATATTTTAATAGATGTATTCTAAATTTGAGCATAATTGAAGTTCGGATCCGGATCCAAAATTCTTGAACCCGACGGGCTCTATACCCCACATTCGCAGCAAATCATGCCTAGTTTTAATTTCTTATGATTTTGCGCACTATTCACAAGGGTTCATAGACAAAGATTATGACAGACAAGATTTTTTTGTCGAAATCGTCGGAGAAAGGTCTCTCGATGTATTGAAGTTTTCACTGGATTTGTAGAAAATCAGTATGCACAATTAGATGTGGAAAGACAGTCATATCATGAACGGTAGCTTGGATTTCAACGCTTAAATATAAGCTGCTTAGTTTTCATCAGCTATCGAAGTCGTGGTAACAGTATTGTCGGTCAACTCATCTCTAAAAATTGAGAACATTTTCTTCCTTCTTTTGAACGTTACCATACTCATGAACTTTTGTTTGATACATGCCTGACGAAACACAGCACAGCATTGACCGATGAAAAGGAAAATGTCTAATGAATTATCAAAGTGACATATTTTTTTTAGGTGAAAGATGCAATCTATTTAATCCAGTAGAGCCTAAACGATTATCGATACTTCGCGATGATTCAGAATCATCTATTAGCAGATAAGAAAAAGTTCTACAACACAGAAAAGGAAGATGAGATTTCTGATAAGTTGGACATCATTCACGTCCAAATCCCCGAAACTGTTGGGAAACATAATTGGCGGTGCCCGAGTGTTATTGGAGACTGAATCTGAGCACGGTGGGAAAAAACGTTTGATCTGCTTGATGATAAGTACTCTCTCATTAATAGACAACGGTGAAAAAAATAGCCGAAACTATCGTTAGTACGATTTTACGACTAGACTTCGAACTAGAAGAAAAAGGAGCTCGGATTTCTATCTATATATAAAAACTTCTTCGCATTTAACGATTTTTTTTGCTGTCGGGTATAGAAAATGACCTTTTTCCACAGAATTTGTTTCTTCGTTCTTGAAATATGTACTATTAAATACTCAAATTTCAGACATTCGATTTTGAAATGTATAAGATTGTGTACCATAGGTTTTTTCCTCTGACACCTTTAGGAAGGTTAAATAAATTTAAAAGATCAGCAACTATGAAAGTCGAATGCCAACACAATTTTCATACGTTGAAGATTCCAATTTTGCGAAAAATGTTTTCATTAGGACGACTAAATTTGTGGAAAAGTAAATTATTTATCTGATAGAAATGCTCGCAACAGTAGTAGCTATGCTGGTACCACTATACATACAGTAGCTGAAAAAAAAACATTACAGTTCACATGGATAATATGGCATAAGTGTTGACAACGCTGCTGTTATCACTGTATATTTTTGTTTGCCACATGATGTCTTTATCAACTTTGACAATGTTAGAATCGTCACCGTTTCGATTTGCAACGAAAAATCTCCGTCAAGTTATTCTACAAAAAAGTATCGGGTCAATGAGTCATAAATGTCTTGTTTCTGACAAAAAGAAACTGGCGCATAATGAAACACATGTGACTTTGTACAACAATTAATATTCAAAGACTTTACAAAGAAACATACATTTTAGTATAAAAAAATACCATCCTACGGGGTACACAGAAAGTTTCTTATTAAAAAGGAACACGAGACTTCGCACGTCGATATCTGACATAGAACGAGTTAGGTACTGTTCCGAGATGCTGTAGTTGTTTCACTTCTTGCAGATATTCTTTCATAACTTTCATTCAATGAGGACGGTCGACGTTCACTTCCTTCGACATCAACGTTCACTTTTAGATGAACCACACTCGATCGTTGTTTCACATCGACAATCTCTATCAGCGAATCGATCTGCTTATACCCATCACC